ATATATAACAAAGTATTGAGATGAACTTTTGATATTGACCAAATACTTATTTTCCACCATGATTTGCAAATAAATTCTTTAAAAATCAGTCAGTGTGATTTTCTGGATTTTCCCCCCCATTTTGTTTCTCATAGTTGAGGTATACCTATGATGAAAATTACAGGCCTCTCTCATCTTTTTAAGTGGGAGAACTTGCACAATTGGTGGCTGACTAAATACTTTTTTGCCCCACTGTATGCTGTCAGAGCATGTTGGTAACTCTGGAAGTAAGAGTTAGAAAAATTCATGCAGGAGAGGCTTTGTTAGTTTCAGTGCATGATCCCAAGTCTTACCATTATGAAAGAGGGAGAAAAAAACTGCCCAGATATTTTACACACAAAAAATGACAATATATACCTCTATCATGTTCCCCTTCCTTATCTCTGCCCTAAGCAACCCACTCCAAGGGCTTTCATCTTCCTGCAGGGCTGTTGCTCCTGCCCCCTAACCATTCTGCTTACCCTTCCTTGCACTAACCAAGAGACTGGGATTTTGAGCTTCGGTGCCCAGATTGCGCAACTCAGCCTTACCGCTAAAGGCATCTGAAGACTGGCCTCTACTGAGGTCAGGAAGCGAGCTGGTCTGGGCAGGGAGAGCAACATGGTTGTGGAGGAGAGCAGGATTGCTAGAGAGGCTGTCTTCAGGGTGACCGCCCCCCACCTGCCAGAAAGAAGACCGACAAGGTCAAGAGGAGCCATTATGCAGTCATAGCGAGCAAGTGTAGAGGGTTGAAATGAGTGTATCAGCCCCTAATTTTGAGCCTCTACTTTCATTAGTTAACCACAGCAAATGTGTCACATGCAAATGGTAATCCTGTCTAATAATACGCCGGGATTATTTTAACTACTGGCTCTTAATCAAACAATAGAATTCAGGTTTGAACATAATGTTAAGCCAGTATTCCAACATGAGGACTTAATATAATGGTTGAACCAGGCCTGGAGGTAGGATTTTAGAGGCAGCAGCCCTTTCATAGAATCACAAGGATACCTTTTGACTATCGAGCCTGACTTTCTGCTCACTGCAGGAGTCCAAATTAAAGTAACCATGAAACAGGCAGCCTAGCCTTTCCTTGAATGCGCCAATGAAGGCAGGGTGTCTGCAGGGGATGGTCAAAAAAGGCAAGATGGCAGCCATAGTGATGCTATTGCAGCTCCACCTGACTTAGGTGCATCATGAAGCACATAGAAAAGAGGCAAAGCTTGGTGGTTACCAGCTTGTCTTTCATGACCATACCTTGCGAACACCCCTGTGTGAAGGGGAGCCCACCACCACCTTCTTAGGTCATTGGATCCACACTGATTTGATCTTTTTCTTAGGAAGTTTTGTCTAACATCCCATTGGAAATCTCCTTTCCATTATTCTTTCTGCCGAAACTGCCTTCCACTATTCCACATCCTGCATTCTGGAAATATGGAGAACAAAAGTCTTCCCCTTTTTCAGTGTAGCATCCTTACAGGTATTTGAAGAGCGCTATTGCAATTCCCATCTTCTTTTCTTGAGGCTAAACATCCCCATTTCCTTTAACTGCTCTTCCTAGGACTTAAGTGGTGAAAATGTTCCAGAGGTACTTTCTTGGATGGCTGGCATTGCCCCTTTCTTCAGGATTTCTCAAAGTCACACATCAGCAAATCCAATATCCTAAAATGCCATTCATTTGGCCTGAAATTTAATTCAAAGTAGATATTCCCTGACTGTATTTCTTTCAGTCTCCAACTTCAGTCCTGCCCTTTGCAATTATCTAGGGGAGCCCAGACCCTCTTGCTGGATTAGAGCAAGGCAAGAGAGGGATAGCTCTGCTTTTTTGTTTTTTTGTTAGCTTTCTGACTTTTTCACCGAGCAGCTGATATACTGATTCTTTTCTCTTCCTTTGATTCTGAACAGTCAATATCTGAAGAAACATTTTTCTTGTTCCTAGCTGCCTTCATCAACCTCAGCTTATTCTGAACTTTACCTTTCCTCAGTTCTGGGTCACTTGCATCTTCATTGGTGACCTTCCTCTCTTTCCACCTGTGCCCTTTTTTGTTTTCAGATCTTCATTCAACTTTTTGCATAACCACCCTGGAGACACTTCTGTCCTCCGCTGTTTTTGCCCCTGCCCAATTGCACTATTTCTTTTTTTAGAAACTCCCACGCCTCTTGAGTTTTTTTTCCCATTTGCTTCTCCTGTCATGGCATCCTCATAATCATTGTTCTAAATCTGTTTTTTTCAAACTTGGCAACTTTAAGATGGGTAGACTTCAACCTCCAGAACTGGCTGGGGAGTTCTGGGAGTTGAAGTCCTCATATCTTAAAGTTGCCAAGTTTGAAAAACACTGCTCTAAATTAACTGTAACTGACTTTAGTTCCCCTTAAAATCAAAACCTCCAGTTTTACTTAGTCGCTTTCTCTCAATGTTCCTGTTATTTCCATTTCCTTGATTAAGTTTTTCCTATTGATAAATATCAAGTCAAGAATCACTGATCTTCTTGTGCCTTCTTCCACCTTCTGGAGGAAAATTTTGTCTGCAACTTAAGTCAGAAATTTCCTGGTAAAACCATGCCTGACAGAGTTTGTTTCCCAACAGATGTCAGGGCAATTAACCCCCCCCCCCCAATCTCTATTATTTTAAAGGCTACTGCACATGTCAATTCAGTTTTTGAATTTGAGCGGGGAAAAGGCTAATATTCTAAAAGGCTGTTGGTGGCATATCTGACCAATTCATCCACTTGGTAATTCTTTGTTTTTTCTATAACTTGCAAAGATTATGAAATTAATGCTGTGTGTTCATCATATATCTTCATAATAATATTTCAGTCACAAAAACTGATATTTGACTAATGAGGCTGAAAAAAAAAACACATTTCACCCAGACTATATATTAGACAGTTCTCTACAACCACCTTGACATTTTGTAGGATGCACCCAAAAGTTGGAAGAAAAGAAAATCCCACTCAGCTATGAAACTCTAAAGCTGTAAGAGAAAGTTAGGATAGAATTATGTTGCTTAATGTGGGGGCTATTGGAAACTGCCTTTTGATATCAAGATGCCCTCCCCCTATCCCTCAGCCATGACCTTGTATCATAGGACAATCTCTGTTCAGCCTCTTGACTGATAGAGGTAATCCTCACTTAATAACCATTCATTTAGTGACTGTTCAAAGTTACAACGGTGCTAAAAAGTGACTTACAACTGGTCCTCACATTTATGACAGTTGCAGCGTCCTCACGGTCATGTGATCAAAATCTGAGCACTTGACAACCAGCTCACAGTTGAACGGTTGCAGCATCCTGGGGCCACGTGATCACCATTTGTGACCTTCCCAGGGGGATTTCAACAAGCAAAGTCAATGGGGGAAGCTGGATTTGCTTAACAACCATGTGATTCGCTTAATGACTGCCACAAAAAGGTCATAAAATTGGGTCTGATTTGCTTAACAACTGCCCTGCTTAACAACCAATTTTCTGGTCCCTATTGTGGTCATGATGCAAGGACTACCTGTATAGCAAAGTCCCATCCCACAGGGAAAGGGTATAAGTTCGGTAGGAGAACACACATTTCAATGCAGAATGTTACATGGTCTCCAAGAAGCATTTTTAAAGTTAGTTATACTAAGCTAGATTAATAATAGACAACCTCTACTCTCAGATGCTTTGGACCAACCAAGTCCCACCAACCCCCAGTCAGTATGTCCAATGGTGATGAATTCTAGGAACTGTGGACCAAAATGTCTGGATCAGGTGGATTAATAGTCAAGTTATGCAAATGGACCTTTAGAGAGCTCCTCAAAAGGAGACATCACAAAGGTTTGAATAGTAGAGCATATCTGAAACCCCCCAATTCCTATCTTACCAAGTTTGCATGCCGACTAGCAATTGGCAAGACAGAGGCCGGGGAGAAAGACTGGCTAAGGCTGCCCACAGAAGTGCTGTGCGCAGAAGCAGATGCCAACAAGTCGTGAATGTCCCTGTGGTTGCTCTGGCCCACTGCGTGGCTCCTCAGCACATGGATGGCTTCGTCCAAGTGGTCTTCCATTTTGTTTTGCTTGAAGGACGGAAGAGAGGGAAAGAATGTGAAACAGGGTCCACCACGACAATTGCGTGGAGGTGGTGGGGCTGCATGCCAACATTTGAGATTTAGGCACCAAATCAAGCAAGAAAAAAAACACCGGCAAAGTTTGAAGATGGGACACAAGGCTTTCTTTTCTGCTTTCCCTGACAAAAGAACTGATTAGGTAGGTCATTACTGTGCCCATTTTAGAGGCAAAAGAACCAAGGCTAAAAAGAAAGCTGCTTTTGAGATACTATCAGGCAACAGAGCATAATGGGTGGACAATCAAAACTGTGCTGGCTACTAAGGTTGCCAGGTCCAATGCTGTCTGCTAGGAATTTACTTATTTACTGCAAAAAGCTAGACAAGTATAAGGTTGAGGGATACTTACCAAGGTATGGAGGGTGCCTTCGTAGCTTGGGGATAAGGCACCCTGTCCACCTGTCCGGGGCCACTGCGAAGAACCTGAGTAGAAGACAGAGAGGAGACATTTTGCCCGTTAGCATATAAGTTTGATAGGATAGATAGCAGAGATATCCTTTCTCTTCACAGCTGCCAGGAAGTACTCTCAGGACAACAGAAGAGAATATCTGTAGCTCAGGGTTGAACTGTGGAGCTCCTGGTGCTCTCTGAGCTTGGTTGTTGCTTTGCAGACATTTCATTGCCCAACTAGGTAACATCATCAGTGCATTGCAAACAAACAACTAAGCTCAGAGAGCACTTAGAACTCCACCCTTTCAGGACACATCAAAAGCAAGATGTAACCCTCAGGAGTTCCATCAGGATCAATCACTCCTTATAGGCCAGTGTTTTTCAAACTTGGCAACTTTAAGATGTGTGGACTTCAACTCCCAGAATCCCCCACCCAGCACGCTGGGTGGAGAATTCTGGGAGTTGAAGTCCGCACATCTTAAAGCTGCTGAGATTGAGAAACACTGTCATAGACCTTTCCTTCTACTAGGAACGTGCTCACTCCCCTGTTACAGACATGCAGCAAGGAGGAGTCACCACACCTTGGCAACCCATTTCAAGTTTCAATGCCTTTTTTGTGAGTCCCAAACTATCTACCCACTCTTTTGCATTGTAGCCTTATTTAAATCCATCATTAAAAAGTCTGGACAAAAAGAATTGGGCAAGGAAAAGGATGAAGGTGGAGCCTTCACAAAGCAAAACAGGAGCATCGGATGCAGCCCCAAGCTTCAATGCTTAGTGAAGACTGTTGTGTCTGAACCTGACTTGCAAATGAGTTTACATGCAGCTCTTCCATCTGACACCAGGTGGAGCCAACCATTCATAAACTTCAGATCTTTTGATTCACACATATACCTTGGAGCTATAACTGGGATAGAGCAGGAAAGCTTTAATAAACCTCATGTTAAGCCTGCCTCAGTCTCAGGTTAACAGACATTTCATGGGGAAAGGGCTGCCTTTAGCCAGTAGTTTTGAGGAAAATTCATTTGTGTTTTACTCTTCTGTTGTAGTTATTACACATCATCTTGAGTCTTTGGAAATAGGGAAATTGGTGGTATAGAAAACTGTATTTCCACGCAACACTTTTCAACTCAGTACAATATACCCACAAGAACTTATCTGTGTTTTTCTCCTATCTCTTCTGAGTCGTATTCATATGCAAAAGAATCAAAGGGCATATTTTTCACCATATCTTAAGGAAGAGGGAAGAGAGAAATCCACTGGTGACCAGCTTGGGTGGGTAGAGGTTTGGCTGAAGTTTTGGACCACTACCACTCTGAGGGAAATGGGAAAAGAGGGACTTTAACTGCAGCATGTTAAAGGTAGTCCCCAGGTTAAGAATGCCCGGGTTACAGACAACCCACAGTTAAGAACAGAGCCTACTGTAGCAAAATTTGAGTTAAATACGCAATGATTCGAGTGAAATATACAAACGTCTGAGTTAATTACACAATACTACTTATACAGTATTATACAATACTACAGTTCCAGCTTACATACAAATTTGACTTAAGGGAATGGAACTCGTTCTTAAACTGGGGACTACCTGTATTTAATTAAAAATTCCAAATGCTGTCTCTTAGGGCAGATCATTCTCAACCCTGAGGACCTTGTGTAGTCTCACATAATGGCCTGGGAATCCTCTCCCCTTAAAAATAAATAAACCTCACAAGAGTGTGATATGTTTGCAGAACACTTCACAACCTTTGCAGGAATGGGACACCCTGTTGCCCACCCCTATTTTAAGAGTAAATCCTCCTGAAGCAGCATATAACAGAACAGAACGGAACAGAAAATCATATTAAAATGCTTGAGCTGAGAGTAACATGTATATCCTTTTTTTGCATTTCTGGGGGACAAAGGTGGGAGGCCTCCAAAGCAAAAGTTATTTATTTATTCAATTTGTACAGCCGCCTAGAGTCCCTGGCTTGAGATGGGTGGCTATACAAACCGAATAAATAATAAATAAATAAATAGTTTCTATTCTTGTTCTTAAACATGCTGAAGCTTCCAAAAAAACGGCCCTCAAACCATATCCATGCTTGGTGCCCAAATGGCTATATTTCATTGGCACAAATTCAGTATTTTATTTTTTCAGATGGGGGTTAGGATAGGAGCAGGCATGGTCTGTTCCCAGAGGTTTCCCACTCCCACTCTGATTCCAAATTTGCAGCAGCAACAATATTAGTAATGCTGAAATCCAGCTGCTTTGGTGCTGGATTGCAGCGGTGTGATCTTCGGGAGACTGTCACCGGGAGACTGTAAATGGGGTGCTCGGAGGCATGCAGTCTTCAGGGTGCTTATCACAGTGTACATAGACTGGCCCCAATAGAAGTCTACCTCGATTGTAACCCAGAGGAACCAAGTGAGTCTCTTGACTAGTGTTTTTCAAACTTGGCAACTTTAAGATGTGCGGACTTCAACTCCCAGAAGCTGGCTGGGGAATTCTGGGAGTTGAAGTCCGCACATCTTAAAGTTGCCAACCAGCATTGGAAAACACTGATCTAGATCTTGCTCAATAGCCTGAGGGGTGAGCTTACAAATGCAACACTTTCCTCACTCTGCTCTATCCAGACATTTGGTACAGATGGAGGTCCTCAGCTGTCTGCATGGACAGCCCCACCTTGTGCATGTTAGAGGACTCTTTCTGGCCCCAACCCTGATCATGCGATTAGCACTGGACTGAGTTCAGAATCAGAAAGGCCGTCTATCCTGAAGGACTCATTGCTGAACAACTCCAGCTCCTCCTCTGAGATCTCTGCACACCATCGCATGCGCTTGATTTGCACTGCTCTTCCACAGACAGAGTTTTACAGCTTACCTGTTATTCCCTGAGGGGACCCCACCGGAGTGGATGGGTTCGAAGAGAAATTATTGCTAGAATGATCTGGAGAGTAGATCTAGGGGGAAGGACAAAAAAAAAAGAGCTTGGGAGAAGGGAATGGAGGGGAAAATATAGCACCTAAACACTCCTGAAAAACCAAGTCCTCTTTTTTTGATTGATGGTGGAAGACAAGCCGAGAAATATCTAGACATGCATCCATATCCCAAATGGATGTTGGAGGTTAAATCCTTCCTAGACATTTTAACAGAAGTCATTTTTATTTATTATAAATTGGCACAATGTTCTCTCACGAGACAGTCTGATTCCAAAATAGATCATTCGGAGAATTCTGGAAATGATCTAACCTCGCCACTCCCAGAATACTCGGGCCAGTTCCCTTTCAAGGCCAAAACACTCTAAAATCACCCCAATTCACAATAGGTGCTCATGATTCCTGCTGCTGCCCCTGAAGACCTTGAGGCATGATGAAGCACCTGGGTAAAAGCAGAGTAAAGTTCAAGGCAACAATTTCTCATGTTTCTGAGCCTCTGTCATTTTTTTTTTGGAATGGGAAGATAACAGGATACAGGTAGTCCTTACTCAACAACCATTCATTTAATGATGGTTCGAAGATATAACAGCCCTGGAAAAAGTGCTTTACGACCTGTACTCGCACTTATGACTGTTGCAAACCACTGCATCCCCCCATTCATGTGATCATGATTTGTGACTTTTTACAATGGTCATTAAGCAAATCACTGTGGTTGTTAAGAGAATCATGTGTTTGTTAAGTGAATTCCAGCAAAGAGGTCCACTGGGGAAGCTGGATTTGCTTAACAACCACATGATTTGCTTAATGACCATGGTGATTCGCTTAACAACTGTCATAAAATGGGTCCGGTCATGTGGTGACTCAATGACTGCCCTACTTAACAACCAGTTTTCTGGTCCCTATTGTGGTCGTTAAGCGAGGACTACCTGTACACACTTGTGACATCCACCTTACAGTGAGACTTCATTGTAAAGAAGGCTTCCTTAAATAGGTACCTTCCAGATTGGTTGTACTGTGACTTTCAGAATTCCCAACACTGAAAGGCCAGTGAGGTGTTGTGAGTCACACACTAGACTGGGAATGGAAAGGCCCAGGTTCAGGACTTGAAAACACTTAATGAACTTAGGCCAGTCACTCTCTCTCAGTCCTCCCTATCTCACAGCGTTGTTGTTATGAAGGTGAAAAGAGGGAGGACCCATTAAAAATTGCCTTGAGCTCCTTAGATGAAAGTGCATAGCAAACAAACAATTCTAGTAGCTGTAGTTCCAACAAATCTAGGGTGTGCTAGTTGTGGAAGTCTTCCATAAAGGTTGTACAAAGAACCTGCAGCTAAAATCAATGTTTTTTTAGGATGAGAAATTATAGTGAGACTTACTGAAGCTAATGCTTTTCCAAGTGCATCCCCTGAACTGCCAGCAGTGGTTCCTCGGTTACCTGTAGAAAGAGAATATGAGATCATGAAGGAAGAACCAACAAATGGAACATCAAATCCAGAAATTTTAGGACTATGAATGAAACAACAAAGAGAAATTCTGAGTTTGGAAAAACCCAGCTGGAAAGTTTCTGTAAAAACTTCTTGAATTAATTTGTTTTGTTGGTACCAAAAGCATTTTGAGTATTCTGCATGCATAACTTTAAAGAAGCCCCTTGATCGTCCATTCTTTGTTGAAGATACACCAAAGTAGATGGCATGATAGTCCATGCTCAGTGTTACCTATCACCCAACTTACAGAAAAACTTACTAAATAAATAATTTTTAATTTATAAAGGAACACAACACATTGTTAAGGTAGGATGCAAAAAGTACATTTTGGCTTAATTGTTGCTCTTGCTGGGAATTTTAACTTTTAAAAAATTAAATATTACTGTATTCTAATTTTTTATTGGTTGGGTGTTATATAGCATTGAGTACCACCTCCCAAACATTATGACTACAGGAAATAAAACTAAGGACCAAAACTCGTTCCAGGTTCCCATTTTTATATAAGAAGGTACACTCAAATGTCCCATTTTATCCAAAACTTGGGACATAGTGTTAGAACATGGAAATATTTTGTCCAAACCGAGAGAATTCACATTTTATTTATTTATTTAACTATAGTTTATATGCACTCAAGCCAACCAGGATCAAAATGGCTTATAGCAGGAAAAAATACACATTAAAATAGAACCAAACAGAACAAAGCAAGGAACAGCTACAACATTAAATCCATAGCAGGAGAGTCCCCCTCCCCATCTGTCTCTAGAAAAACTAGATTGTAATGGCTTTCAGAAAACCCAGTAGGATGGAGGAGAACCTAATCTCGAGGCAGCGAATGAAAAACTTGTCCCTGAAGATGACATTCCTTAAGAGACCTGGGGAAACCTGATCTTACTGGGCAAGCTGAAGCCACTAGGAGAAGGTGGTCCCATAGGTACCCAGGCCCTAAGCCAAGCAGGACCTTAAAGATGACAACCAGCACCTTCAACTGCACCCGGAAGGAAACTGATGACCAGTGCAACTCTCTCAGTAGAATGTTACATGGGAAAACATAGAGGTTCCATCACAACATAAGCCTCTACATTCTGAACAGTTGAACCTTCTAAGTGTTCTTCAAGATCAGTCCTATGTAGGGTGCCTTACAGAAGTCCAAACAAGAGGTGACTAAGGCATGAGTGACTGCAAGTCAGGCAAAGGAGAGATTGCCTACAGCAGTGTTGTCCAAACTTGGCCACTTTAAGATGAGTGGACTTCAACTCCC